ATCCATCCATCCATCCATCCATCCATCCATCCATCCATCCATCCATCCATCCATCCATCCATCCATCCATCCATCCATCCATCCATCCATCCATCCATCCATCCATCCATCCATCCATCCACATCCATCCATCCATCCATCCATCCACATCCATCCATCCATCCACCCATCCATCCATGAGACTCTTTTGAGTTGGTTGCGAAAAATCATTAAGTGTTAACTGCACAGAAGCCCATAATGTCTCCAAGGACCATCATTGGAGCCTTTCAACTGCTAGCTCTATAAATTCTAAAGTTTCGTTTCAAGTAAAGTCCATTGTTCTGTGGTTACCTAGAAAGATCTCTCCTTAAGCTCATGTGTTTAGCATTTTCAAAAGAGGGTCACCAAACGGAGGGAAGGGGAACATTTCTGTACATATAAAATGCCTTTTGAAGAACGTTTACAGAAAGTCAGCACTTTGATCTACCCTATAAACAGATATAGAACAGAAGTGGGCACGGCTTCTGGCTCTTCAGCTGCGCAGTAAAAATGTACAGGAAGACCACAGGCCAAATATATAGAGCAGATGTTTTCAAGACAAATAAAAGCTCTGGGGTTTCTTTGTACCCTTTTTACAGAAATGCAACATACATGTCATGCAATTGCTACACCATGTCAGACAGGTAGGAATTTAGAAAGCTGCCTTATACTGAGTTAGACCCTTGATCCATCTAGGCCATTATGGTAAGTACTGACTGGCAAGGACTGTCCAGGGTTACAGGTAGGAGTCCTTCCTTGACCTCGCTGGAGATGGTGGAGACTGAAATTAGGAACCTTTGGATGTAACACATCTGATCTTCAACTGAGCTATGGCCCTTTGTGATGAGCAGATGAAAGACAATCCTTTGTAATCTTACAATACAAGGAACAAAAAAAAACCCACTGCTTTTCCTTATGTTTGCTTAGGGAGAAAACAACATGAAGCATCTACACATGTGGCTTTCCGCCTAAACGTTAACACTGCACTGTCTTAACAAATTTTCCTAAGAAAAACAATGATTTTCAAATAGTCACAACAACTCAAGGCACAGTCGAGACTGAAGACTATGGCACATATATTCATATTCACTAATTCTGCTTATGTTCAGTTTTCAATGTATTTCTGGGTTTTGTGACGTA